ACCTACCTCTGCTAGGAAGCAAAAGCGCTTTTGGCGCGAGCCACAGACTGAGACAGTCAGCGTGCTGGGCATCGGTATGGATGAACCCATTGAGTTGTACGATGTCAAAAATTATATTTACGAGCCAAGCTCGTTGACTGTTAGTAAGACGGCACGTAAGTACCCACTGGGTGGTGATACCACTCGAAGTGCCTCATCACCAGATGTCGGCAGTGACATCGGATCTTATGTCGATCAAATTAAGGTTGACGCAGTTCGTCACCTTGGGGACAGTGTAGTCCCAGATGTCGGTAATGACACCGGACCTGATATTGGGCAAATTAAGATTCACGCAGTTCGTCACTTTGGGGGCGGTATAGTCCCAAATGTCGGTTATGACGTCGGCTCTGGTAATGAGCTACTAAAGGTTGATGGCCATGTTAACCTTGTGGAAATTGATGTCCCGGGTGTTGGTTATGACACCGGATCGTGTATAGAGCAAGTTAAAGATGATGATGATAGCAACCTTGAAACGGGAAGTTTTTTAGTCGCTTTGATACGTTCAGTCTCGTCACAGAGACGACAGCGACGCCATATTGCTGTTATGCAACGCAAGGCGTCTCTTAGGTCACCGAGTGATACTAGCGATCAGCTCTATACACTCGTTAATGAAGTGACCGGTGATGTAGATGGGTCATTAAGTCTTGAGGCTCTACCCTCACTGAATACTGAATACTCTGTTAGAGCTAGACGGAATGTCTGTTAATGAGTTTGGCCTGGCCTTAAAGTCAGGTGACTTATCTGAATTGGTGGTCATTAGACCCGATAGTGAGCTGAACTAGTCGCCACTTCTTGATGAAACTGTATTGGATGACAAAAAGACGGCACTGAGTGCTCGAAGTGAGTCGTCGATATCGAAAGATCCTAGAGACCCGTTTTTATTCTTTGGGTAAGGAGTTTCAGGATGTAGTGTGTCACGATTCACCTTCCACTCTGCCTCCTGATCGAGGCGTACGTCATGAAATTGAACCGGTTCTTGTAACGAAATACTGTGGCACACGGAAATGGCCCCTATCAAAGGAGCAGTGTAACGTCATTGACGAGTTCTTTCGTGCAAAGCACGCGGCTGGCATGGTGCGTGAGAGTAAGTCCCCTCACTCGACACTGACATTTTATGTGAGAAAGCCGAATGACAAGTGGAGCATTGTGCATGCTTACAATAAGCTTAATGCCGCCACTATATCGGCACAGACGTCTACTCCTAGAAGGATGTTCTTCAGAACGCCATGTTAGGTTGTATTTTGTTCAGTGCACTCGACTTGGTCGATGGGGGTATTACCAATTGCTCATGAGAGGGAGTGATATTCCCATAACAGCGGTTAGTACTCCAAGCGGTATGCTTTGGAAGTGGCTTGTCAGGCCTCAAGGGCTGTCTAATGCCCCGGCTACATTTAATCGTCTTATGTCGCAATTTTTCCGACCTCACCGAGGATATGCACAAAGCTATATTGATGACGACTTTGTCCATATCCGTGCATACCATGGTAGGTCAGATGTGGACAATCATATTAACCTTTTACGAGCAGCGCTCGAGTGCATGCGCACAAACAAGCTGTATGAAAATACATCGAAATGCATTTTGGTGCAGAAGAAATTCCCTTTCTCGGGTGCTTCACTGGAAAGCGTGGCCTTCGAGCGGATCCCGCTCATGTTGCAAAGCGGTCACAAGGCGATTTACGGTTCAGTTGGAGTGGGGGACTGGGCGGATCGCACACCTCAGCTAGGTCCAAAGTGTTTTGGTTGGGGACACAAATTGGGACGGGTGGCTAGCAATCGTGCGCCTAACCCCAGTAAGCAGGATCAAAATCACTTGGGATAAGGCTAGATGACAGTTGAAACAGTTGGATTACGTGATTCATCGTATGACAGGGCAAGGGCAGATTCGAGGTCCCTCACCAAGGGATCAAGATCCTAGCTTAGGACCACAACCCGGACCTAGGATCACGATCCGGATCTGGGATCACGACCCGGACCTAGGATCACGATCCGAGGTAAAACTGTTGTGATATCTCGTGTGGACTACATTAAGATTCGACTGGTGATACACCTTGTGTGGGCCACATCAATACGAGAGGACGATCTTCCTGAAACGGTGACGCGTAACATCCGGTAAGGATATACGGATAAGGCACAAGAGTAGGTTTTAGGTTGATCGGTTAGCTTTAAAGAGAGTTCAGTCTACTTCAAAAGGTACACGCGATCTCTTCCGGGCAGGATCTTTGGCCTCCCGACGAATAATGAGTCGCGTTACTCGTCCATAAAAGTATCACACTTGGATTTTTTGGCCAGGTGCGCTCAAGAATTCTCAGGTAACTACAACTGCAATCGGACGCAGTAAGACACGTAAAGGCAAGTCACAAGATCGCGAGACGGCTTAAGTGGTCAGAAGTCTCGCGTATCAAGAATCCACACAGTGGGCAAGGTGATCTCGCTGATATCAGGGTAACTTTAATTAGTACCTCACCGATACCCCAGTAATCGCGCGAAAATTTCCGCACGATCACACAATCCATCCCCAACAGTCAAGTTTTCCCTCGACACGAGTCCACCTGGAAGAGTGCAACCCGCCGTACAGACGGGTACACAAGGCGAGTGTTACGGGGCACCCTCTGTTTGGGGTGCCGCGAAATTTCACGTACACTAGTACGTGCAGAGGAAGCTAATCTACTCAACGACTAAGCTGAGCAAAGGATAAAAAGAGAACTCTATCTAATACAGTCAATCTATCAATACAACTTTAATCTGTACCTAAATACATTAAACTACGCCGTCATATGACGACAACCTGCTCACCACATATTGCGCGCGTCTATCAATATTTCTTTAATCTGTACCTAACTATATTAAACTACGCCGTCGTATGACGACAACCTGCTCACCACATATTGCGCGCGTCTAGCAGCGATTGGTGGTAATTCATGGGTGATATGTCTTATATCAACCCATCTTGGAGCAGAAAATAAACATTGTCCAAAAGGGAATAGTATAACTTCAATATTATCCATCTCGGATAATACAGGTAGAATATAGTCACGCTTGACTATGTTCCGGTTGACACCTTTTTTGGTGTTAATACCATGTAACGGGTACCCCGTTAAATAAATCCCCCTAACCATCAATCATTCTTTGATAAAATAGAATTGATTGGGACAGGGTGACCACCGTTGGATCACTTTGGAAGGGAGCACTTGTTGGTCAAATTCCATTCATTTGCCAATTCAACGCATGGTTACGAAAACCACGCAAGCTGCTACTGCAGCAGCAAGAAGAGCGGCTGCACGCATGCGTGCGGCCGCGGAAGTGCCTCTCATGCCTCAGCAGCAGGCGATTCGTCGCCTGTTGTCGTGAATCCTCCACGTGGTGAGTCACCACGTGCGACAGGTACATCCGTTGCGTCTGCAGCGGGAACCTCGAAACGTAGTTCAGACAAGTCTGAGATAAAGCTCATTTATTCTGGAGAGTCGGGTGATGCATCCGACTCGAACGCTACTCCTTACGCCTCCGGATCACCTGGGAAGGACACTGCAAGATCCAGGTTGACTGGATCTAGTCATCGCGGCAGCATCATGACCTAGATCTTCGGATCGAGTGATTACTCCGATGGGTCTCCGCCTCACGCAAGTCCACCCAACAGTAATAGGCGAGGGGGTGGTGTTGATGCATCTATACATCACCACGAGCGCAGTAACCCGAGGGATCGAGGTGGCACTGGTTTCAGCGCTCGTGCTGACACCAATCGAGAGGCAAGGGACTGAAACGTCCTGCGCCACGCTTCTCAAGTGGAGTCTTCGTGGATGCCGCCATCCAGTTAGTTGGACCAGTTGGCCGGCACGACTACCGAACGGGATCGAATCCCATTGTTCGATTGCAGGAAGATTCGCACACCTGATTCCAGCAAGGATACTATCCGTGCTGAGGAAGAATGCTTCACCGATGCGTTTTTCAAACATCGGTGGTACAATGGTAGCCGTGTTCGAGACGGCAAAGAGTTGGTGCAAGGATGGAATGCCCTCATCCATAACATCGAGTGCATTAGACGTGAGTCCTGACTTGGTGAACTTATTGCAGCTCGCATCAGGTTTTAGAAGCGCAACCCAGTCGAAGCGCGATACTAGTTGCACCGGCTTTCAAGAGAGGCAGGATTGCCCTGTCTCTCGTGGGGTGATTCGTGTACAGGTTGCCTGGACAACTCAAACCGTGCCCCTAGGGAGGCCTTACTCCCTAATGGTCCCTACTGGAGGGCGCGCATCTCTTCCGAGATGGCCGAAGGGATTGAAACCTTGCAATCCCTGTACTCGCGTTCGGGGAGTTCAATTTCCGACGGCCCTTCTTCGAACGCAGCGGTTATGTCTCGTCGTACTGCTCGACGAGACCCAAGACATTGACAATGAGCTGGGCAGAGGCTCTTAGCTGTCCCACGCCGGTTAATAGTCACGCCAGCGGACGAGGTAACTCGTCCGGACGCCATTCACATCGCGGTGGTTCAAAATACGCTCCATTCGGACGATCTTGCCGCTTTTGCGTTCGCGAAATTTGACAATGAACGTTCGACTCGTTTTCTTCGCGATGAGCTGACTGCAGCTCGTCGAGACATCGCTGAATTGCGTGAACAGGTCGCTTCGCTAGTCGACCAGACTCGTTCGTTGAAACGGGACCACTTGAAGGTGGCCTCGGCTCTCGACCGTGGAGGTGTTCTTCGCATCTCGAAACGGGCTCTTACTGATAGTACGGGCGGAGACGACCAACGTAAATTGTAGGATGCGTGCGCATCTTACGGGGCAGCTCAACCGTGTATGCGTTGCCCATTCGTTGCAACACACGAAATGGACCGATTTACCTGGGCAGTGATTTACTGCTGCCCACATTTGTCACTGAGTGCTTCGGTAAGTTTACTGTAGACAGTAAAACTAGGTCTCATTCATCAAGTAAAAGAACATTTGATCTTCCATGTTTGTCTGCGTTTATTTTTGCTTGTCTAGTGCATCTGCAATAGAGTCTAGAACGAAGCAGACAACCGTTTCGCGAGTCAGCAGAAATTCCTCTGCTGATTCATTCTTGTCGACAGCAGTGCGCTTCGAGTGCACTGCTGAAAATACGTTGTCTTCACCAGTGAGGGTGTCATCGTCCTCACTTTGGCAGTCGTTGGCGATGCCGAATATGCCAGCATCGTCGTCATCGTCATCATCGGCATCGATCCCATCTACATCGGCATCCATCACGTCGATACCATTGTCGACGGGTGATGAGCAAGAACCAGATCGGTTTTGTTCGAGCGAGTCCACCCCCATCCTTATACTAGAATCACGCTGTAATAAGGTGATTAAAAGTGGATGGAGTAGGCTATTCACGTCGATAGGTGTATGTGAAGTCGACGCATGCACCGAGTTGATGATGAAAAATTCCGCCAACGGCAAGAGCTCACTCCAACTCGTAAACGTATGTACATACCCTCGAGGTATCTCTTCGAGAACGCGGTTGACGCGTTCCCTCTGACCATCTGTTTCTGGATGGTTAGAAGTTGTCATCGTCAACATTTCCCAAGTAAACGGAACACGGATTGCCAGAACTCCGCTCTGAAGCGGAGGTCCCTATCGGATACGAGTTTACGGGATGATCCCTGAAGTCGGAAGATAGTATCGATGAAGACACGCGCACAGCCCTGGGCTGTAACTGACTCCGGTACAGCAACAAGATGTACCAACTTGCTGAACCGATTAACAAACACAAGAATACCCGTATTCTTGTGAATGTCTTTAAAAAACCCGAAGACGAAGTCCATCGATACGGACTGCCAAAACTCTGCCGGAATCGGATGAGGATGTAAGGGTGCGCGGTATGAAGGACTAGGCTATAGCCGTTGACAAAATTCGCAAGCGCGAATGTATTTGCGCACAAACTCATACTGGCGGGCCAGTAGAAGTCACGACTTACCGTGAGGTAAGTCTTTTCTCTACCGCGATGCCCACTTTTCGGAGCATCGTGACACTCATACATAGTGCGCAATCGCATATCATCATGAGCCGGAACGACGACACGAAGTGTGTCGCCGTTGACTGCTGTATAGTACAGCAGTCCACCACGAACCGAATAACGTTCGGTTGAAGAGCGGTATTGAGACGACAAGCTTTTCAAAGATTGACTGCACGGATTGGATATGTAATCCATCAATCGCAAAAGAGACTCATCTTCTTCTTATGCTCTTCGCACATCGTCGAGCAGATTCGACGAAGGAACACTCACTGTTAGTGTCGCTACAGTGAGATCAACCCCACGTTAGGTTGAGCAGTCGGCCCAAAAACGTTCCGACGTGAAATACCATCAGCGGCGACACTAACAAGTACTGGTTTATACTCGACGAAGAAGTTGTACTCCGCGAAGAAAGACAGCCACCTCGCCATTCGTTGCAAGAGGTGTAGACTGTTTACGGCCGTGCGTGACGACGCATGGTCGGTATAAACGATGAAGGGCCTATCTCCTAAAAGATGTATCCGAAACTTTGCCAGTGCATATTTCATGGCAAGGAGTTCCTTGTCGTGCACCGGATAATTTTGCTTAGCCGCTTGCAGCTGACGCGATTGATAACAGACGACGCGCTCAACGCCGTCTGAGTCGCACTGCATTAATGCGCAACCGATTGCAAATTCGATGGTGTCATAGACCACATGAAATGGTCTATCCTGGTCTGCAATTACCAACACAGGCGATTGCACTAAGCTTTTCTTGATACCTTCAAAAGAGTGCTGACACTCAGCGCTCCGTGATCACCTTTCATTTTTCTTTAGTAGACGAGAGAGATGTATGGCCATCTCGGCGTAGTTTCGCGATTACTTGTGCGAGTACGCCGCCAAGCCAAGAGACTTTCGAAGTCCCTTGACGTCGACTGGCACAGACCAGTCGCTAATCGCCTTGATCTTTTCCGGATCAGGGCGTACACCCTTTTTACCCATGATGCAGTCGAGTAGTGGTAATTCGATCGCTACGAATATACACTTCTTAAGGTTGGCAAACAATTTATGCTCTCGCATAAGTGTGAGAACCTTCCGGACGTGGATTCAATAAGCCTCCACGTACGTCTTTCCATCCATATCCTGGCTGTGGACGAAGACATCGTTGAAGCAACTCGGTGCCAATTCTCGCACCAATTGCAACAGTTTCGTTACAAATCTGTAGAATGTTGCAGGGGCGATGCTTAGCCCCTGTGGCATCACTAGCCACTCCCAAAGCATACAGCTGGGGGTGCTCACCGCTGTGTACAAGATGTCCTGTTCACGCATGAGGATCTTTTAGAAGCCATCCATCAAATGCATGGACGAAAAGATGGTACTTTTTGCCATACTATCTATGATGATATCCTTCCTTTTGATCGGCGTTTGAGCCGGTACCGTTGCAGCGTTCATTTTGTTGAACGCGTGCACTATCGGCCAACCTCCTGTAGCCTTTCGCAAACAGAAGGTTGGAGAGGTGTGTGGGGATGATGAGAACCTCACATGACCAGCTACTGAGAGATTGGCAAAGCATTTGTCGATCGCTGTGACCTGTTCACGAGGCAGTGGCCACTGCTTCATGACACAGTACTTCGAACCGGGTTTCAGCTCGATCTCATGCCGAGTGTCTTTGTTCTTGGGCAACTTAAATGGCACGGGTTCCGGGAAACATCCCTGTTTTCAACCAAATCCTTATACAAAGGATTTGTCTTCAAAGACTCCCAACATTGAGACGTGTATCGCTAAATCCGAGTCTTCTCATCGAGGACACTTTCATCCGTCGATGAGCTAATGAAAACCCGTTCGTTCTCAGCAAACACTTGTGCCGACAGAATATCGGCAACGTCCTCGTACTCTGTGACGAGTACGCATATCTGCTTGATCTTGTCACTACGCAAATCTTGCAAGAATCTATTAGATTCTAGAATTGGCAACTTGACCACCTACGAAGCTGCATTCGGAGGCGTCACCAGATTAAGTGTGTAAGCGCCTACACTTGATCCGTCATGCACCAAGACATTCAATGTCTGGTGATTTCCTGGGAAAACACATCCGCAGTTGGTTGGGGATCCACAGCCTCAGCATAACTCTCTCGGGAGTTATCACTCTTAGGAACGCTAAATTTTTCTTCCGTTAAGTGTACTTTCACGGCCACGTCCTCTTCGATCGACTCTCTTTCAGTCGATCGGGCTTTCTCTACGATAAACTCTCTGATAGTCGATCTTTCTTCAACGTGTTGTCCATCCTGAACAACACTGACCTCTCTTCTCGGATGCACCCTTCTTGGTGTGCATCCGTGTTCCAGTTCACTCGATCTCTTCGAGTGGTGAACCTTCGGCGCAGCCTGTATCTCTGCATAGGTGACGGAAGCTGGTTTTAAAGTGCAGTGTCCTTTTGCACTGTGGTCTTGTGCAATCGTACTAACGACCATACCACAAGTGAGGCCATCGCACTCACTCGTAGCACATCCACACGCTTGTGGACGCTCCAAGACGTTCATCAGATGGCCATCCGATGAACAAATCGGCAGGCATCTTCACGGATCGATGCTGCCGGATGATCCATGGCTGGTACTTTCTAACCCATGGCAGACCGAGGATGACATCAAATTTGCCATCCAAATCTAGTACGATAAAGTTATCATCGTACTGCTTTCCTTCTAGCGTGTAGTAGATTGCCACTACACATTTCTTCACTATTACGGATGCGCCTGTAGCAAGGCACACCGTCATACGAGTTGGAGGGAACTCGCGCTCAACATAGTTGAGCCTACTATCCCCTAGCGACTGGCGTCGAATAAAACTGTTCGACACCCCACAGTCAACTAGGGCGCGAAGTGACATTCCAATTGTCACTTCGATCTTCAAAGTGATGAGAGACTCCTCATCACTAGGGACAGTAACACACAGAAACTGTGTGCTGGGAGCAATCTTCATTAAGAGTACTGCAACTTCTCTAGACGTTGCTGAATCAGCAGGGTGCTTCGCCCCTACTGGCCCTGACCGTTTTTTGACGGTCCTACTTGCTGTCGCGGCTTGGCGACATGGTCGGACCCACGCCTTGGAACTTTCCTTGGACAGCGGTGGTCATCACGTCCTGTCTTTGGACGTGTTGCAGTGCCCGGGACACTACACTCATGAGCGTAGTGTCCAATCTTCTGACAGCGATGACATCTCGCCGTTCGATTGTGACTCAGAGATCGAGAGTTCTCGCTCTCGAGGTAACAGAGGTCCAATGGTTCGGGACCTCCAATTTCCTGTCGTCTCGTCATTCGATAGTTTGACGAGTTAGCCTGAGACTGTCTCATGCTGAAGTCTTCTTGTTCCGCATACACTATGCCTCTTCGAGCAAATGGAAGTCCTCTCGGAACATGTAGGTCTTCACCATCCCATCCGCGAGGCCGTAGATGAACACGTTGATGAGCGTGTGCTCATCAAAAGGGTTTTCCGTTGCGCTACTCGCAAGTTAGCGCAGGTGCTGTGCGTAAGCGTGCACGTCACGCTTACCTTGCTTTAGCTCAAGAGTGCAGAGCGTGCTCTAAACTCGGCTCGTAGCGGCTAAAACGTCTCTTTGAGCCGAGACTCAAAGATCTCCAACGACTCAAACGCGTTTGGATCGTGAAGCTAGAGCCCTAAGGCCCAAGTCTTTGCTCATCCCGTCAAATTTGACAGGGCGAAGGTGACTTGCATCTCGTCACCCCCGATGTGACGGGCCCTGATGGCACCGTCTAACTCGACATACCATCTTAAAAGGAAATTTCCATCGGTTCCCTTGTACCTTGAGACGTCAATCTTCAAGGTTTCGGATTGACGCATGTGCGTCGGCCCGCCCATAGACTGATGAGAGCCTTGCTGTTGTAGCAATGCTATCTTCTGTCGTTCGATGACAAGTTCTCCTTGTAGGAACTTGTTGATAGCAGCATGTTGCTGGTCTCTGCTTTGAGACTACAACATACCACTGATGGCGGGTTCGCCCATGAGCACACTCATGCGGCCGACTACCTCCCATTGTGAGACACTCAGGTGGGAGTAGCCTTCACGTGTGACGTGAAAGCTGTCGTCTTCTACGTCCACGTGTTCATGCTAAACGGACCTAAGTAGTCATTGGACGGACTACAAAGTGTTACCAGGAGTAACGGGGGACCCTTTGTTTGGGGTGCCGCGAAATTTCACGTACACTAGTACGTGCAGAGGAAGCTAATCTACTCAACGACTAAGCTGAGTAAAGGATAAAAAGAGAACTGTGTTTAATATAGTTAAGCTATCATTATAACTTTAATCTGTACCTAACTATATTAAACTACGCCGTCGTATGACGACAACCTGCTCACCACTCATTGCGCGCGTCTAGCAGCGATTGGTAGCAATCTGTGGTTGACATGTCTTATATCAACCCATCTTGGAGCAGCAAATAAACATTGTCCAAAAGGGAATTATATACCTTCAATATTATCCATCTCGGATAATACTGGTAAAATATTGTCATGTTAGACTATATTCCTATTGACACCGTTTGGTTTCAATTTTATTAATGGGCTACCCCGTTACAGTGAGGAAGGCGATATACACGGAATCGGAGTACCCCCTCCGTTAGTCGGTCGTATGGGCGCCAGTGGAGAGTCGGGGCCGTTTTAAAAAATCAGCGATCACCACTCCATTAAAATGGTGCGCGTGCCCGGATCTTCTGGCGACTCATGGTTTCTCCGTGGGTATTAGAGTGATGAGGTAAAAGTCAATACTGAACCTGAGATGGAAGCGTTAGAGGCAAAGGGATTGCCGAAGACGCGTGAACTATTAGGATCCCCAGTTTATCAGAGTTTTAATATGGGCTCGGATTGCAAGAAAAGGAAAGAGGACGGTCGACCTTTTGATCAGGAAGATAAACCTCAAACCCCTCCTGAGGTCCCTTCAAGGACCACCGCGGATCGTGCTGCAAAGTACGATTCGCTGGGTGAAAACCCTTCAGCTATAACTGAAAAAAGCTACACAAACCACTCAGGCAATATCGAAGAAGAAGATTGTGAAGACAGAACGAGTGAAGAAAGAAGCGTCCAGATTGGATCAACACGATCGCAGTGCGAAATCGATCGACAAACCGATTAAGTTGGTGAACGATGCTATGGATATGACGACGGAAGGCTGGCAGCTACATCAACTGGCGCAGGAATACCCTTGGAAGGCGCTAAAGAATCTGCTATCGAGCGACCCCGAGCTAAAGATATTGAATCCCAAGCTGATTGGAGAAATTAAAGGTACGGCATCCCTACCGAAGGCAGCAACTAACCCGCTCGAAGGGATCAGCGCAATCATCCAGCTACTACAGGATGCAGGAGACGTAGCTGTAATGTTCGATGCGGACAAACGGCTGGAGTGCGACCGAGATCAGGTGATGCACGCGTGTCAATCGCTATATAACAAGCTTGTTCCCCTGACGGGTAAACGCAAATCGACGGATCAAGCTGTTGCTAAGGCCGCCGATGCTCCGAGAGGGTACCATACTTGATCGTCGCATTACGCCTCGGCGAAATCCGAGATGGAGTCTGACGATTTAATCGGTATTCAACGGATGTCTTTAGGCTCAAGTGGAGCAGCACATCTGCGTGATCGGGTGGAGATGATCAAGATCGAACCGCGATCGACGATCATTGGCGCTATAGGACAGATGACGTCAGCTAGGCAAGGAAATCTGCAGACATACCATGATGAGGCCATGAAACGTTTTCAGCAAGATCAGGGGGAACTGGCATATCAAGCGATCTGATCAAGCCAATGGATTAAGCCTGTAAGAGTCCAAAAAACATACTTTTCAGATGTTGAGATGGAATCGGTGCGATCGCACATCAGTCGATCGGAGTTCTTCAACCCTGAAGACGCTGATCCCGACGAATCAGGGCAAAAGGAGCGGCGACGTGCGATTGTGGCCACCACAGAGACGCAGCAGGAAGGTGGTGCAATCTCCCAGCGCATTCGAGTGTCGGCAATGACAGAGCTGAAGGTATTCAATGGCAAAGATCTAGACGAAGATCGAACCAGAAGCTGAATCAGCAAAGTCAAGTCGGCGTTGCGCGATCAGGATCCCGATGAAACAAAATGTTTGGTGTTCGGCGATATGTTGATGGGACCGAAACTGGTACAATTAAATGAGCCTATCTCCCCGGAAAAATGGAAGCGATTGCTGGATTGCTTTATGGTACAGTATGGAGGGCAAGGTGTGTTTATGGCCGGACAATATTATATCGTGCGGAAGCGGCCGGATGAAAACCCGCTGGAGTATCCACACCGTCTCAATGTCGCGGCCAAACACGCTAAAATCGCGATCAAAGAAGAGAAAATGGCTACCGCGGCCACGCGTCGCAAACACGTGGAAAATTTTACCGCCACGCTCGATGATCACGATATGGAAAAATAGCTAGCTCTACTGCGGTTGATGGAGATTGATGGAATGGAAGAAACTCTCTATGCATGCCAACGGATGGAGAATTGTCAAATGAAAGCGTCGGCGGGAGTGAACAGATATCATCAGCGGGCAACCGCTCCTTCGAATCCAATGTCATCCAAGACAATCCGGTCAGTGAGGGCGATCTGCGAGAAAGTCGAAAGCAGCGGATCGGAATAAGACTCAATTGGGTCCGATAAGACAAGATAAGTCGACGAGCTTGTGTGACTACTACGCCTAATCAGTAAAAATCGGACAAGAATCAGCGCGCTTGGCATCGGAACACTGGTGAAAGAGATGGGAGTGATTGAAGTGAAAATAAGAAGGCGTGTAAGCATTGTAAATCTACCAGACACGACGATCGGCGATGCTGACAGATACTAATGTGCCAGAAATGTAGCTGCAAAGGACATCCATCGGAAAAGTGTTTCTATGTATGTGCAGCTTGCGTAGAGGTGCATGAGAATGGCAAGTGCCCCATGGAGAAGTTCTATAACTTGATCCGCAAGTGGTATGTGCCTACCAAAAACGCGGGGACCTTTCTTTCCAAGGTGGATGAGATGTTAAACTAGGACGCTCGGCAGGTTGGAATCTGGCACGAGCCGAGCGTTCTAGGCTATGCATGCATGCATTTGTTAGGAGTTTGTTGAAGGATCAAGGAGTTAAGGATCGGCGCGATCTGATAACTAATATATGTGATCGTTCACCACTTGTTTCTTCTATATCAAGTGTGAATCGAGTGGACGATTATTCACGATCCCCTGTGAAGATGGAGCTCAAACTTGCCCCAGGGGAGTCAAGGGGATGCTGGAAGTATCATACTCCGGGAAAGTGGTTCAAGCAAGCGAAAGCAGTAGGCAAGATCAACAATGAGAAGGCCACTATGCGGTTTGATTCTGAAGCGACAACCTCAATCATCGACATAACCTTTGCTCGTAAGGTAGAATGAGTGATCGACGAGAGCCGAACGCAAGAATGTGTTGGGATCGGGGAGAGTCCCTATATGACGGTGGGTCGGACCAAAATCAAGATCACACTGGATGGATCACTAGTATAATATTTTGATGTCTGGGTTGGCGATCAGGTTGGTCAAGAAGCCATACTCGATATGGACTTCATGGTTCCGGCAGGCATTCGTTTGGATCCGGCCGAAAGAACTCTGTGTTTGCCAGATAAAGTTAGGATCGGTATGGCAGGACGTAGACCATCATACCGATCGAATATATCGGCGATCAACCTTAACGATCAACATATTGTGATACCCACCGGTGTATCTACGGAAGTCAGGATCGGCGTCAATACTCCTAAGTCCAAGCTTTGGGTGAGACAAGATGTGGCGTGAATTCATACCGTGAAGAATGGTCTCGAAAGGATTAAGTTCTTGCAGCTTATGAATATAAGCGATCATGATTTAATCTGAAATTATGGGGCTCCTATAGCGTTGTGGATGACAGAAGACATGAAACCGCGATCTCAAGGATACGTTTCTGTAGGATCGCGGAGGTATGTGGAATGGAATGCATTGGTATTTGAAGCCACTACAGATCGAGGGGGAGGAGAAGTTGAAGCATACACGGGCTCGTTAGTGGATCATCCCTACGTATGAGAAGCCTACTCGAATCTTAACACGACCAGAACGGGAATCAGACGACGTCTAGGATTCTGTGGAGATCACTTCGCTGTCCGAATCTGATATAAACACTAGTGATGGGTTGAAGGACGAGTATACCGGTGAAAAGATTAACGAAGACAAGGATGTTAAATCGACGTTGAGATCGGGCGCGGTCAACGCAGTGCGGAAGACGCCAGAACAATCGGGCAAAGTAGACGTGGTTGCAGAGGAGGCAAAGACACAGGAAGAAGACCATGAGATAACTGGTCCACTACAGAGACATTCTAACTGTCAGACAGACGATATCAAGGTCGAAGATCGGTGATTGCATAGCCGGTCCACACGACTAGACGACGACGCAGAAGTTGTTATAATCGACAACGAAGTGAAGAAAGACAACACACCGGATGAATCAATATATTATGATGAAGGAGGAGAACTGATCGCGGAAGATGTGGAGCAACATATGGCTGTGCTGCTGTAGGTAACCGCACCCACTACCGAGAGAACAATAGAAGATGTCCAGGTTGGCGATTCCGGAATTCCCTTGACAAAGGATCGAGAGGATTTGTGACGATTGATATGGAAGAGTTGATATGTGTTAATAGAGAAAGAAAATGCATTACTCCCTGCAGCGCGCGGGGCCGTTTGTGATATTAATGTGGGAGAGGCAAGGCCGATCGCGCAGCGCGTTATACCTGTTGCGCCAAGATTTTGTGAGAAGTTGGCCGATCTGATAAAAGGTCTCCTTTTCAGCCAATATTATCCGACCTTTGACATCGCCGTGGGCATCACCGATAGTCGCGATCACTAAGAAGAATGGGGACGATATCAGACTATGTTCCGACTATGGACAAGTGAATCAGCCAACACGGTTGATGGTATATCCTTTGCCGCTTACTAGTGAATTGTTGCAGGATATGGACGAAGCAATGTGTTACTGTTGGTTGTACATGGCGAGTGGATTTTGGGTGGTAGAGATGACGAAGCGAGCAAAGTTAATATCTGCGTTTATCACAACTTCAGGTCTAATTGAATGGTTGAGGATTCCTTTTGGACTAAGGAATGCCCCACAGATTTTTCAGCGGTTGATTGATAACGCTCTGTACGGATACTTCAAGATTGGCGCAAATAAGGATGTGAACAAAATAGATTTCTCCCAGTTGACCGATGTGTTCACCGAAGGAGAACCAGAATCCAATCGGACATCGTCAGTGATAGACAGACAATTCAATCATGATGAAATATTGATCCCAGCTAATTCATGGACTTCCTTGCGTAACCAAGTCGAGCGACTACTGACGGTGTGCGATCGATGAAATGTTTTGATCAGCTTGACTAAAAATTTAATGGATAGCGTAAGGTGGACTACCTAGGTCTTCAGGTATCTTTGGACGGGCTAGAGGCAAACCCTAGTATCTAAGATCGCTAGCCAGTATCCTTTCCCCACAACGTTGCGGTCCATGCAATCATTTCTGGGTAGTCTGAACTGTAATAATCGCTTCATAGATGATTTTGCATAATGCGCATCAGTGTTGTACAATCTACGAGAGGCGGAATTTTTCAAGATTACTTATATGGAGGATCGGGAGGCAATGACAGGATATCGCGATCGTACCCTAGGAGGAGATGATCTTGATATAAAGGGACGATCTCGGTGGAAAAACCCACTATCGCATTTAACCTGTCGAAGTGTTAGATTGCTAATATGCCGATCCTCAAGCACTTCGATCCAGATCGACTTTCATTGATAGTGGTATATGCTAGTAAGCGGGCGGTATCGGTATCTCTGTTGCAGGAATATGATAGCGTATTTTGTTCGGTGACATTCACGAGCCGCACACTGAAGTTCAACGAGATTAAATTATGGCATGGTGGAGAATAAAGTTTTAGCCCTACTTCGAACTTTGGAGGTGTGTTATATTATGCTAGTACCCCGAGAGATCAGGTGCTGACTCGATATTCGACATAAGCCTGGATAGTTCAATCGACTGGCCTCAACGGGAGACTAGGAATATGGGCCGCGCTACTATCGAATTGGACACTGGAGGTCAGGAGATGCAAAAAACGAAAAGATGAAATACCTGGCGCAATCGCAGCTAGCATAACTCCTCGAGAAGAGGCAGATGATATGTTGATTGCGATTGCTTCACAGAAACAACCTAAACCATTGGTAAACATGGCACCCTCTCCCACGGTGGAACCGGATGAAAGCCCCTTTGTTGTTAGTTTCGACGGATCGGCGCGAACCAAACGGAAGCGTGGGTTATACAGCGCGATCTTGTGGAAATTACCATAATGTACGATTGTCGCGGCCGCTTCAGAATACGCAGCGGATCTGGCGGTGAATGCAGCCGAATATCGCGGCATGTTACTGGGTTTCGATCTGCTAGATGGTCAGACTAGGGACTAGTCATTATTATATGTGGTGACTCGAACTTAGTGATCCAGCAAATGCGGGGTGAGATGGATTGTAGAGTGCCCGGTTTACAGTCGTTGCGCCACAAGGCAATGCATAAACTTCTATTATGGCCGAAGCACGAGTTCCTATGTAGAAGTGAGAATGGAATCAGAGTGTGGATCAATTATCCAGCACAGCCTTGCAGAATGAGAAAGGAATAACTGTGGTGACTGAAGAAGATCGGCGAGATCTGATTACGTTGAACCGTTTAGGTGAATATTTGATGTCTAAGCCGGGCGATCCAATTGCAAAAATTACCGCGATCACGAGATCGGCCGGGAGAGACACCCTCAGGCTATAGTGTTACAGGAGGGGGTGGTGCAGAAGATAAGAATTCGGCTGATCGGTCAGGCTCAGGACGAAGAATGTTAGATCGTCAATCTGAAGAAGTATCTGAATGGAGATGTATCCGGTCTGGACGCAAGAGAGGCGAAGATGCTTGCAAATTAGCGCCAGAGTATGAGATCGATCAGTACGACCTGTTGATTTTCTGTCCTATAGCGAAGAGAGAATTAGAATATCGCGATGGTC